TACATTCTGTTTCTGTAAATTAACAACAGCATTGCTAAAACGCTGTTCCATGTATATGCTATGTGTACTCTATATGGTTTATTTACATACTTTAACCTTTTCTCAAAAAACAGATATTAACCATACATTTTACAGTACTTTGGCATACGTGTGTGTGTGTGTGTGTGTGTGTGTGTGTGTGTGTGTGGGTGTGTGTGTGTGTGTGTGTGTATAAATATATTTTACAGTGTAAGGATTTCTAATAAGGCAACATCTCTTGTTACATCTGAATCAAAGTTGTAATGATATCTGTCTATAATAATAACAAAAACAAAGAAAGCATAAACTGACATCAGCCTATTTAAACCCCAAGCTACTGAAGTCGAAACTGAAGTCAACGCTTTTGCATTGTGTTGCACAATCATTTAATTGCAGGTCTCTATGTCTCAGGCAGTGAGGTGTGGGGATTAGCAGGTTAGCAGGAGTCCAGGGAGATGGGGTATTAGCCTCAGCCCAAAGCTTGCATCAGCAGGTATCTACATATCAGCGCACTGCAGGGTTTAAGACTTTAACAATTGCAGAGCAGACAAAAGGATAAGTGCTGGAGACTGTGAGTGTATTGGGGTAAAGCTCTACTGCTGGTAGAGCCCTGATGAATAGAAAGATTATAACTTTCCTTAATGTGTTTCCGACTGCAGAGCTATATTGCGTTTTAAGTGCAATAGACAATGGCATTAAATAGTTTTATGGTAACATTTCAAGTGAAGAATAGTAACAGTGTGAGAGACAGGCAGAGAAAGAGCGAGAGCACTGTTCCTCTCTGATCACTGAGATTCATGCTTGAAAGCCTGTGTTAAACTGCAGCATTTACCATCGAAGTGATTTCCATTGACCATCAATCCAGGGTGATCAGTGGTAAATGGCTTTGGAGAGTAATAGAGGGTTGGAATCCCCTTAAATCATTTCCACACCCCAAAGCACATTTGCTGCAGCAGTGAGGCGTGGAGCCTCCATGCTGCTCAGGAGAGCCGATTTCAACAGAAAGGTGATAAAATTTTCAGAACCACCTGCAAACACACAGACACATGCTTCCTTCCACTTAGCCTTGAGCTGGAAATTGGTGCAGTAGCACTGTAGCTACCCCAGGAACACCTCTGAGTCTGCAAAACAGAGAGATTAACATTACTGAAGAGTTTAACAGAAGCAAAACATTTTTTCAAAGGTGCACTTATGAGAGTTCTATAGGTTTATGTACCAGCAATAGTATAATATCATGATGGGCTCCCCTGTGATGTTCCACAGTTAACCTTTTAAATGGCCAGGGTCTGCCAGCAGGCTTTATAATCTAAACTGAAGATTCAGGAAATAAAACAAAGAACAAAACTGGGCAGACAGAAGAACATGACAAGTAAATCAACAACCACTATATCATGCAAGGACCAAAAAGCAAAAGATGGCTATAATGGTGTATTCGGAAAAACTCTTAAAGTCGTGGTAAGAAGCATAGGGATAGGGATGGACCAGTGGTATGATACATTGAAAATAAATTGTTGGATGCTAACTGACTGGGCCGGCCATTCACAACAGGTGAATTAACATTACAGTTGAAGGTGAATTATCATTTACTTGCATCATGAAACAGAAATTAAAGTGTCACTGATGTTTTTACCTTTAACTTGATAGATCAAATGGTTTGCCAGCTTAGCCTGCTGAATTCATGTAATATCAGAGAACATACTAGCTGTTGATTCACTACAGCTGGTAAAAACAGGCTTACCAGATGCAGACACTGATATTATTACTTGCAACTACAGACTAGACATAGGTGACAGACATGATGGGGGGTGGGGGCGGGTGGACCAAGGTGACCTTGAGATACAACACTAGATAGAACCAGCTGGGGACACCATGGCAATCAGAAGCACATTTGTAACAACAGAGAGCTTGAGGCAGCAGGACAAAAGTACAAAGTCACTTTATATGGCTTTTTCCAGCATCCAAGGTCATCATTCACTGCAGGGGTCAAAGCACAGACAGTGAAAGTCAAAGTAGGCCTAGGCGGGATCAGCGTCTAAAACAGGTAGAGAGGGTCAAAACCAGAAAGAACACAAAAACACAAGAATGAAGAACAAGGCTTCAACAAGGACCAACACTAGACTAGGAGCTAGGAAACTAGAATTACTCAGAAAACAAGGCCTGACAAACCCACAAGATTTCATAGGGGAAACATTGAAAACAGGGTATATACGTTTCTGGAAGATTCCACTTTATATCCATCTAAAAAGCTAAATTCTCTAGATGAGGTGTGCCTTAGGGATCAGTCCTTGGCCCCCTGCTTTTTCTTACCATGCATGTTGCTCCCACAACTCTGCCCTGCAAAACTTTTGAATGTTCAATTCACTTGTGACGCCACAATCAAACCCTCTACAAGCATTCACAATCTTGACATGGTCTTTGACAATACACTCTTTTGAACCACATATCAGGTTGCTTACTAAACTTGCTTTTCATCAGCTACAACATTGCCCTACTTCGATCTTTACTCAGTCTGAAAGATGCTGAAATCCTTGTTTATGCTTTCATAACCTCTTACTTAGACTACTGTAATTCACTTTTCATTCAGCTCATAGAGTCTTTACTCATATCAAGCACGTGGCACATATCATACCCATTCTCAGTCAGTTACGCTGGCTTCCTGTTTCTCAGCAAATTATGTTTAATTAAGTCCTGCTTCTCACATTTAAAGCACAACGTGTCCACTCTCCTTATCTATGAGCTCCTGCAGCCCTATAGAGCACATCCTAGAAAAAGACCATAAATGGGAGACAGATTATTTAGTGCTATGGCCTCTAGACTTTGAAACTGCATCCCCTAGGACTTCTGTGACTGTTCTTCCTTCTCCTGCTTTAAGACTCAACTTAAAACTTTGCTTTCCTCTCATTATTTTCAACTTTCATCCTTCTAGTCTCCTGCATTGGGGGTGCAGTGGCACTCATTATCTACAAAAGGGCACTAAGACTAAAACATTAGAGAACTGCTGCTTTAGGGAACCAAAAGTCTTCTAAGGTCTGTAACATCAGTTGAATATGCCATCATTGCATGGCAAACACTTCTCTTGAGATACAAGCTTACTCACTCTTACCTCCATCCAAAATAGTCTTGCAACCTTCAAGAAGCTTCTCCTCCATGAACATGTGATGGTTTGATCCTATTATACAGTGCATTCTCACTGCTTTATGCCTTATTATATGACAGAATGTCTTGTAGTCTGCAATATTGTGATTCTCTCCTTGTCAAAACACACTCTTTTGCTGCGTTCACATGTTTGTGGTTGGCAGACAACAGTAAACCGGATGTTCCATTATTTTCAATGGAGTCGCTATTATTTCAATTTCAATTATTTTCAAATTCTGCCACCACCAGTGGCAGTTCCTTTAAATGTTCAGCGGTCTGTGGAACGATCCATGAAGAGTTAAACTTCCACAACTTTTGCCATCGACTGCAGTGGTGGAATGAATCGAATGCTGATTTTTTGGGAGCTATGGACACCAAATGTCTCGTTGTTGAAATCCAGATGAACCCAGTGTTATACACAAAATAAAAGAGTACAGAGCATCCTCTGACCTTTTTCCACCTTAATAAATAACCAATATACACTGATAAAGCTCTCCTCTGATGATCATCTATTTTCACCAGCACCACAGTCACTGTGGCAACGTTTACATGGCTTCCTCAGCTGTTGGACACTTTTTCAATGCAAACATGTGAACACAGCATAAGAGTGAAGGGGTCAAAAAGTGTTCTTAAAGAGCAACATCATAGAGGAACCTCTTTTGGAAAGCAGTTCTTTTAAAGGGACTGTTGAAAAAGCTAGATGTTGGCAAAAATCCCAGTTTTTGCAGAAATATGAACATTTACAGTGTAATTCATTTCAAATTGCTGACTTGCGGAGTCGTTATAGAAGTTATTGAAAATAAACTAGACGAAGGCGTGCACTTGTGAGAAGGTTAGATTTATTTCAAGACGTCTTGATACAGAGACGTTCACAAATCACTAGTTTGGTTCCTTCTCCCACAGAGAGCGGGAGCAAACAACAGTTGTATACATATAATCATATATATAATTCATATGGACATTGTTAGGATAGATTGTGTATAGTTTTTGTTGCGTAATCGAGCTAGCATTACTTTGGTCACAAAATCATTTCTGTTGCCAACCTGCCTAGTTTCAGTTGCAACAACATAGGCCACATCAGTAGCATTGCATTTTAAACTGAAAACCTAACATTACTTTGCGAGATTAAATGGGATTAAATAGGCATCCTGTAAAACATGTTGAACCTGACAACAGTTGCTATGAAAGAATGCATTTATGGGCAAAGCACAAATATGTAAAATGAAAGGTTCTTTAGAGAACCAAAAGTGGATTTTCTATTTTTCAATTGTACTGTGCACCATGTGTATCTGCAGTCGTTGTACATTGTAGCTTGTTGCCTTGCACTGAAGGTTCCTCTCTTACGTCCCGCAACTGTCTAACTCTAATGCCTCTGAAGTCATGCGTCATTCTGTACTCAGCCAATATCAGGAATTTCAGGCACTTTACTCTATGCAAAAAATGAATAGCATTTTTGGGTGTAATTATGACAATTTTTGAAAAAGGCATTCATTTTTTACGCAGAAAAAAATTGACCTGGAGTTCCTTATATGGGTGTATATATATATATATATATATATATATATATATATATATATATATATATATTTGGAAACAGCACTTTCAGCGAGCTGGCTTCCTGTGATAGCTGTACAGATTATACTTCTCCACTTCAATTCTGATTAAAGTATCTGCCAAATGAAGAAATGTAAGTGTAATATTCACTCCACCAATGATCCGTGACCTATTTTGCTCACTCAGTAAAGCTGGAAGAGGTGATGACATGGAGTCTAACGCAGCAGGTGGGCAGAATGTCGGTGTTACTGCGTTGTCTCAGGTTGTAACACCTTTTCTTTCTCTTTTCACAGGAATCTTGGGAAGTCAGGACTGCGAGTATCGTGTTTGGGGCTCGGTGAGTGTTTAGCAGATAATAACACCATCAGAAGAGCCTAACTGAGAGCTCAAGTACTTAATTTTCCACTTCACAGCAGAGCGCCCTCCTCTCTCACTCTCTCTCTCTGTCTCTCTCTCTCCATCTCTTCTTTCTCTGTCTCGCTCTCTCTCTCTCTCTCTCTCTCTCTCTTTCACTCTCTAACTTTCTTCTCTCTCTCTCTCTTTCTGTCTGTCTCTCTCTTTCTGTCTCGCTCTTTCTCTCGAACTTCTTTCTTTCTCTCTCTCTCTGTCTCTCTCTAACCATCTTCTTCTTTGTTTCTTTCTTTCTCTCCCTGTTCAACCATCTTTCTCTATCCTTCTCTCTCTCTTTCCCTCTCTCTTTCTTTCTTTCTTTCTTTATTTGGCTTTCTTTCTTTCTTTCTTTCTTTCTTTCTTTCTTTCTTTCTTTCTTTCTTTCTTTCTTTCTTTCCTTGTTTAACCATCTTTCTCTTTTGTTCTCTGTCTCTCTCTAGCCATCTTTCCTTATTTATCCCTCTCTTTTAATGATCTTCCCTTTCTCTCTCTCTCTCTTCCCCTCTCTCTCTGTGTTTAACCATCTCTCTCTTTCTCATGCTCTATATTTTTATTCCTCTATCTATTTTCCTTGTTTCTCTATCACATTCTCCCACTATCTCTCTCTTTGCATCTCCTTCTCTCTATTTCTCTCTTTCTCTTTCTCTCTCTCTCCCTCTCCCTCTTCCTCTGTCTTTCTCTGCCTCTTTCTCTCTCTCTTTGCCTCTAACATCTCTCTCTCTAACATTTCTCTCTTTTGCGCTCTCTCTCTCTCTCTCTCTCTCTCTCTCTTTCACTAACCATCTCTCTCTCTTTGCCTCTCAATCTCTCTTTCTCTGACTACCCCCTCTCTCTCTCCCTGAGTGTTCCCTTAATCAACAGCTTTATGAGTTAAAGATAATGAGCCAGTTTGCATCTCGAAACTAACAAATCACCAAAATAAAAAATAAACGATGTCCTTATTAGCCGAGCTAGGACTCATTTGAGTGCAAAGCAGCGGTTTTATGAATGAAGTCCCTTTGCCTGTTTTCCAGCCTGTCCAACCCTCAGACTGCAGCGTTTATTCAGTGTTTCAAGTGTTGCATAATTCAGTGACTTAACTGGCATTTGCTCAGCTAATCCTCCCAACGTTAATCTCTCCCGTATTGACATTTAATTTATAACACATGATAGATATGAAATGCTTGGCGGCAATTAGCTCACACAGCTAAGACACAGCAGGGCAGAAACAGATTGACAGTGAGGGTTGTTTTCCCAGTCTCATCAACATCAAGTCATAAAACCCAATGGACTAACCAGACCCATCAACACATAATCGATTACTCTGCCTCCAGTATGGCAGTTTAATGCTTTATCTGACTTCCCTTTGAAGAGAACGCCACACAGGCATATTAAAATGCTAAAATCACGCTGGGTTATCTGACTGTGCGTTGTCTTTCGAAGCCCTCGCACAAGCATTTACAAACTGTTAGACAATAGACCAAGACATATTAGTCATAAGTCTTGCAGATGTGCACAGCAGTTACTGGCTGTAGGCTAAGACATCACATTGAGCCTCTGGATCCTGGCAGCGCAATGAAAATGACTGTTTACCCAAGAAAGTCTTTCTGAGGCAGATTCTAAATAGATAGTTCAAACAAGCAGCACTAATGAGAGTAATGAAAAGAGAAAGCTATCGTTGCTAGTTGGCATGGTGTCATGCCCGTTGATGTGGACAGTGGTCCATACACTCTGGTTAGTCTCCTCTCACTTCAGCTGCATGAGCAACACCAGCTAGCAGAGCCACTGCTATACAAGGGCCTCAGGTTGCACGATTGGACCCACATGAGTTCGTATCAGTGGTGTGACTACATGCAGTGCAAGTGGGGCAGTCATACTTGGCAGTATGACTTGTAGCAGTGAGCCATGGAGGCTGGGCTCCTTTAAGTCTTTATTAGACCTTTTATATTGCTGTTTTCCAATTTTGTGTTTTAACAAGAGACAGTTTTGGTCATATTTGTATTTGTAACACTGAAACACTGAAAGATATGTACACATTTTGGAGCAGCATGTGTTGCCATCCAGTTGATGTCTTTTTCAGAGACATTCCTGATTGTTTCAGCAAAAAAATGCAAAGCCACATTCTGCACATATTACAACAGCGTGGCTTCTTAGTAAGAGAATGCAGGTGCTAGACTGGCCTGCCTGCAGTCCAGACCTGTCTCCCATTAAAAACGTGTGGTACCTGAATGTGATATATAATAATGGAGACCCTGGACTGTTGAGGAACTGAAGTGTTATATTAAACAAGAATCAGAAAAAATACACTTTCACAACTACAGCAATTGGTGCCTTATTGACCGTACTGTTTTCAATTGAATACAGGTCAAAAATCGTTGCTGCCTGTTCTTATTTGCACTTTTCTTACTGCCCCAGCTTTTTTGGAATTGGGTTTATAAAACTTGATGGTTCAGTTTTTGATCGCCTTCATTAAATTAATAATTATGATTTTTTATCAAAGTTGAAATTACATAAATGTGTGTGATAAACTCTTCTTTCTCTCTCAGCAACAACAAGGGTAGCCATGTTTGCACCAAAAATAAGACATTCGGCCTTAGTAAATCCACATAAGGTTTTATTACAATAATCTGCTTCCACTATTTAGAGTAGGCCCAAAGACAGCCCTTTACAGTTTAAATACAAAACCCTTTGAAGTTGAGTAATTTTGCTACACTATTCAAATATAATGACTTAATTACATATTTATTACACAGTAATTAACACAGTGAATTACATTTACATTGGATTTACATTCATTATCGACAGCTTCAAGTCTGTATTTATACTTTTGTTGTATTTTTACAAAAACACATGGAAAAATTAAAAAAACATGCTGAAATGGATGTTTTTCTCTGCAAAACAAGACTGTACACACAACAGTATCTTTTCAAATTGGAACAGAACAGTACATTTTCAAGTTCAAATCATCATAAAGTATGCCTCTTCTACTTACAAATACAAATGTGGTATCAATCAAACATTTAAAAATGCTATGAGTGAGGAATAATTAAATGTGTTTGTTTGTTTTGGTGATAATTGAATTCTAAGAGTTAAGGAGGTTAGATTATTACAGGGTGGTGATGGTTGTGGTCAGAGTCTATACACAGAAGACCCTGCTCCTGACATCTCAGGTGACAGTAGGTGGTTCTGACAGGGACAAAGATTGCTACCACAGAGACCCAACACTTCTGCCCAGGGCCACTGACGGCTATGAATCATGGGCGGTGTAGTCCGCCGGCAGTGTGTGAGTCAAAATAAAAATAACAGAGGTCTCTCAGGGAAACGCAGAGGAGGGTCAAACCCTCCAACAAATCTCCTGTTGGTAGAGTAGTATATTCATGAAGTGAATTAAAAACGGGTAGCACTTTGTATAGTCCAATGTACATGCAGTTAACTTATAGACAATACATTTTACATACAATTTAAATCAATAACTATTAAGATCACTTTAAATTTGACCAAATTCAAAACCTAAACCTAACCTTTACCCTAATAAAGTAAATTTACCCACTCCACTGAATTAATTAGATTTTAAACTGTGACAATAATACTTACATTTTTGGATTTTTTTATGTTTAAAAGATATTTTTGATTTCTTTCAAGTGAAGTTGAAAGATCTAAATTAGAGATTTAGTCCCTAGGCAGAGCCTTATTTTAGCCACACCCCTGCATTTTACAGCAGGAAGTGAGACTGCATCCCTGTCCCTCATGGCCACATGGTGAGCAGTTAGATCCCATTGTTTTGAAGACAATGTGTTCCAAAATTTGGAAATCTGTTTGTAACATTAAGAATTGTCACTACAACACTCATACTTTCTGCAGTAATTAAACTTTTCGTGTTTCAATGAAAAATATTATGATGTTATATGTGTACACCTGTTCAAAGCTGTGTTCGAGTTCTGCTCAAATTAGCTAAAATTGTCACTCCCGAACATTTGTTAAAGTTTTGGTAGTGTTATGATTGTTTTCGTAGTGACAAAAAGTAAATGTTCAATCATTTACCTTAATAAAACAAACATAATTAAGATATAAGGATTAAGATAAAGATACAAGCAAAGGGATTTTACCCAATAATCTAAGTTAAAAGTCAGTTAAAAGTCCAAAATATGTTTTTTAACTTTGACTTTCAACTAATTCCATCCATACAATGGATGATTCCATCCATATATAGAATGGTCCATATAAGATTTGCACTTAAATTTAAATTATTTATTAATTTAAAGGGGTATTCCAGCCTAAAAGGAGAGTTTAATATGTTAATTGTCCTCCAACAGCCTGAGTGGTTTCACAGAATTCAGGATTTGACATTGTTTTCATGTTTTTGTTCAAACCCAGTACACATTATACAAATACATCATATAGCCATTGGGAATCCCTATTTGACTGTTAGCCAATGATTAAGCCAATGAAGTCTTACCTCTTCAGAAAAAAACAGCCCACCCCCAAAAGTCTACTTCAAAGCAGTACTGCAACACCTCTGTAGGATGCGAGTAGACATGTTTACAACAGATGTAATGATGGTTATATTTTTCATTTTGAATCACGCTGAATTAAATTAATTGAGCTATAAAGGAAATTTTTACCAAAAGAAAGAAAACATAAATACCAATGTTTTCAACTGACAACCAATGAAAGACCAGCTGATAGAGCTTATAATAGCTTTTGTTTATTGTAAACTAAGTTCATATTATTTTGTAAAGCATTCGCTCCTAATAAATGTGCTTTTGAGGGCTCTCACAGACTGATCCATTTAACGGTCTTGCTGCTTTTCTTATGCCTGTTAAATTGTGAAAATATTGCAAACGGTTCTTACTGTCGTTTGCCAAGTTTTAACTCCCTCTCTCTCTCTCTCTCTCTCTCTCTCTCTCATTTCTAGGAACATGGGTGACATTTGGTGGTCAGATTTCCGATGAGGTGAGGTGAATTAATCATTAAATAGCCACACATACACATGAAGGTAACAATCAGCTAATCAGGCATCATCCACAGTGCTAGAATCCGGCGCTGCTGTAGTAACACAGCGATATGAATCACTGTGGCCTTCTCTTACTAACAATAACTGCCTTCTGCGTGGGCTCTTCCTGTTTTTGACATGTACTGGGGCATATGAACAACACCATTAGCCAATCATCCATCACTAAAGCCCCCGTGGCAACAACATTCAGGCAACCCTCGCTGTCCCCCGAGGCGGGGTCTGCTCCAGTGTCCAATCACATCACGTTGGTTGTCCAATCAAATTAAGGAAAGACCAACACACACCCCTCTCATAGCTCCCACCCTTTCTGTCGCCCTTTACTCAGCTGTCGGAGTTAATAATGTCTGGAATTGTTTAACATACGCTTTTGCCTGTGCGGTCAAAACCCACACACCACCCTACAGTCGTTGCCCCTCACTGTCAATCAAAGTGACAACCGCACATCAGCCTGTCAGAAAGAGAGAGAGAGAGAGAGGAACAGTGAGAGGAGGTCTCCTAAAAAAAGAATTAGAAAGAGAGACTTACAGTTTGAAAGAGAAAGAGAGAGAAAGAAAGAGAGAGAATGGGAAGGGTGGACAGATGGATAAATAGTTGGGCCTTGAGTTCGGTTCAGTCATCTGTATCATTCGTTCTGACAAAGCATAGTAAACACCGGAACACATGCAGAATGAACATCTGTGGTTTTAGCTTGAATAAATGTGACTAATTAATGTTACATTAGACATACATCTATTCTTCTCTATTGTAATGTGAAGAAATCACATCAATTTGAGTTAAAACCACAGATATTTTGCATATTTTGCTCTGACACTTGCTAAGCATACATTAATGAACAGCGTATCCTATCTCATTTAATTACAGAGTATAAACTCAACACTTTTGACCTTGACTGAACTGAATTGCACCGCATCAAATCAATTATAGTTACAGTATGTTGAAATGAGTTGAACTGAATTGAAATGAATTGAATTGCACTGAACTCAGTTGGGTTGAGCTGAAAGAAGTTGGTCTAAACTGCTGAGTCGAGTTGAGTTGAACTGAAATGAGTCAAGTCGAGCTGAACAGATCCAAGTTGAGTTGAGCTGTGTCAGAGTGAGTTGAACAGAACTGAATCAATTTCAGATGAACAGATGTGAGTTGAACTACCCTGAACTGTGTGAAGTTGAATTGAGCTGAGTCAAATAAAGCTGAAATAAACTGAGTCAAGTTGAGCTGAGTTGAACAGATCTGAGTTGAGTTGAGCAGAGCTGTGTGAAGTTGAACTGAATTGAGTCAGGTTGAGCTGAGTTGAGGTGTGTCAAGTGAAGTCTGTTTGCGCTGAGTCAAATTGAATTGAACTGAGCCAAGTCAAACTGAGTTGAACTGAACTGAATCAAGTTGAGTTGAACAGATCTGAGTTACGCTAAGTTGAACTGAGTCAAGTTGAGTTGAACTGAACTGAGTCAAGTTGAACTGAACTGAGTCAAGTTGAGTTGAGCTAAGTTGAGAATGACTGAGCTGAGTTAACTTGATGCTGAGCCGAATTATGTTAAGCTGAACTGAACTGAGCTGAGCTGATTTCAACTGAATTTATTAATTTTATGAACTGAATTTTTTCATAATTTTATGAACTAAATTTTTTTGAGTTGAGTTTACCTGAATTAAATTGTATTGAGTAGAGTTGAACTCATGTGGATTGAACTGAGTTGAGTTAAACTGATCTGAGATGAACTGAACTAAACTGAAATGCACAGTTAAAGTCATTTACATTAATCTCACATAAGAACAGGCCTCTAAATAAAGAGCAAAGGTGTCAGTAGCTTTATCAGGACTGTTCTTATTAAGTATATGAAGTGCTGACTGAGCAACTGATTTTTAAAGCTAGTAGCAGTGAAATACCTCCTCATAATTTATTGTATGTATAATACTCTTGTATGCATAATAATGTGAGTTTGTATATGTTCATGTGTAGGTTGCAGAGCAGCTCATGACTATAGCCTATGAGAATGGGGTGAATCTCTTTGACACTGCTGAGGTGTACTCAGCCGGAAAGTGAGTATGACCAAAGCCCCCAGTCTCCATTCTACCTATTTTATTATAACTGCATTTACTAGCTGACTGTGCTGGATTTAATACTGACTTGTACAGTGGTGATCTAGTCAACTCAAAAATACCCAGGCATTTAGCAACTGTTTCATCTTCCATGAAAGCCAAGGACCTGAAACATTGTTTAGCCCCCATGTGTTTCAATAGTTCCTCACGAAGAATGAAAACTCAAATCTTGGATTTCATACAAATAAAGTCAATTAAGAAAAGCAACAACCAGTAAATCACCTTGTGCAATAACCTTAACCATTTATGTCTCTGTTCTGCATAGTCAAATCATAACTTCATTTACTGGCTGACTGTGGTGGATTTAAAATGTCCCACTGCTTTGTGAAGTGCTGACCCAGACCACTCAAAAATCTCAAGGCTGTTTTGGGATAGAACACCCATCACAGCCAGAGTGTCTAAACCTGGATTAATTACAGCTTGAATGTCTAAACCTGGATTAATCACAGTCTGAGTATGTAAACATGGATTAATCACTGTCTGAGTAAACCTGGATTAATCACAGTCTGAGTATAAAAAACCTGGATTGATCACAGTCTGAGTATGTAAACCTGGATTGATCACAGTCTAAGTATGTAAACCTAGATTAATCACACCCTGAGTATGTAAACCCTGGATTACTCACTGTCTGAGTATTTAAACCTGGATTAATTGCAACCTTATTATGTAAATGTGGATTAATCACAGTCTGAGTTTTTAAACCTGGATTAATCATAGCCGTAGTATGTAACCTGGATTAACTGCAGCCTGAGTATCTAAATCTGAATTAATCACAGACTGAGTATCTAAACCTGGATCGATCATAGCTTTAGTATGTAAATGTGCATTCATTACACCCTGAGACTAAACCTGGATTAATCACAGTCTGAGTGTGTAAATGTGGATTAATTACAGTCTAAGCATCTAAACCTAGATTAATCACAACCTTAGTATGTAAACCTGAATTAATTACAGTCTGAGTATTTAAACCTATATTAATCACAACCTTAGCATGTAAACCTAAGAATATAAACCTAGATGAATCATGGCCTTAGTATGTAAACTGAATTAATTCTAGTCTGAGTGCCTATATCTAGATTAATCATAGTCTAAGTATATAAACCAGGATTAATCACACCTGAATTAATTACAGCCTGATTAGTCAGTTAAATATGCAATTAACCAGTAGAAATAATCATTAGTTAAAGCTTAAAACCTAATATTGATGTAATTGGCCAAACAATATATCACTCAAGTCCTGCATGACAGCGTAATGATGCTGGAGTTGAAAGCCCCTGCAGATTGCAGTCACGGAGTGGAATTACAGAGACAGGCACTGTGACCACAGCAAACTGAGCCAGAGTACGACACCTGCATTTCAGAATGGAGCTAAATCCGATTATACTTATCTCCCAACTAATGTGCAAGCGCACACACCTTTCACTGCGAGTTTCAAACTTTACAGCAGTTCTTAGAAAATGAATACGCAATGTCGGAATGTCGAGCCTCTGACAGCACAGCTGCAGATATTTTCAGCACAATGTCATAAATATAAATGTGATTTGCACAAGGTTCATTTCTGTTGAACACACACACAACACACACTCGCACGAACACACATACACACACACACACACTTAAACACACACAACACACACAACAAACACATGAGACACACACATACACACACACACATAACACAGATGCACATCACAACACATACACACACATCTACACACACACATATACATGACACACAACACACACAACAAACAACACATGCAACATGCACACTCAACACACACACACAAACAAAAACACACACATACACAACTCACATACACACACAACACACTCACAAAACAAACATACACACACTACACAAACACAACATACACACACAACACACTCACACAATCAACTCACAGCAGAAACAATTGGTTATGCTTTCTTTTGGAGTCCTCTAAGTTCCCACAGTCACTTAAGTTCACTAGGTAACTCCAAACTTCAAAGAACTAGATAATTATAGACAGGGCCAGGCTTTACTCTTGTTTTTAAATGAAAACATGTCCTAAAATGTCTGGTGCATTTTCACATTCAAATTCACCCTAAAAGTGTCCTTTCCTGATCAACAATATAGTCAAATATCTATTTGGAGTATTTTTGTATAGTGGTGAGTGATGAGTACAAAAATAATCACAGTAACTTCCACTGTATTGTCACATGTTTAAACAGGAAAGTAATTCAGAAACACTTCCAAGTTCTAAATAGTAATATAGCCTTACCTTTACCTACCACACATTTACCTGGTTAAACCCCTAGAACTTGGGGTACTGTAATAATAGGGTACTGTAAAAGACAGTGTTATCAAACAAGCTTATGAGTAATATCTGTGTTCTCATCTCTGTAGAGCTGAAATCATCCTCGGAAATATCATCAAGAAGAAATGCTGGAGGTACGGAATCACTTGGGAGTGTGTTTGTGTGTGTGTGTGTGTGTGTGTGTGTGAGAGAGAGAGAGAGAGAGAGAGAGAGACTGACAGACAGAAAGGGGGGTTGAATTAAAATAACATCACTTATTGCTAAAAAAATTATCCATAACTAAGCTAGTTACATCGAAGCGATCAGTTACCATGGCGATGTGGAAAGTTCCATAAAGTATGCAGCTGGAGATTTTTGGTTAGGGAGTGTGTGGGAGGGAATTTTACAAAGAAATACACAATTCTGCAGCTTGAATCTGAATACAGACTGTTTGATTTGAGATGTGTCAGGCTGAAGCTGGCTGAATGCCTCTACTGTTTGTGTGTTGTTTCTTTTCCAGGAGATCCAGTCTAGTCATCACTACCAAACTTTACTGGGGAGGAAAGTAAGTACTCAGTTAAATGAGCATATCATACACGTAGATTCATAAACATCCAAACCACTAAGAGAACAGATCTGAATACTTCCTCTTGACAACAGGGCCAACAAAGCCCACCAAAATTACAGTTAAAAATACACTAAATATGTGACTGGAGGAGCTACAGGTGGGTGACAAAGAATCTGGATAAGTAAGTGTAGAAACAATATGTAGGAAAATCAGAAGAGCGGCTGTTCCTCAGGTGACTGAGAATGTAAATGTTTAGACTGTATCAGCAAGAACAGCCCATCCACAGCTACATAAAGAAGGATATTCTAGTCAGGCTGCAGTGCATAAGCCCCTAATTACAAAGACACATTCATATTTGAGAGCTTGTGGTGTAAAAAGCCACAGTCACTGATCTACAGAGATGTGGGAAAAAGACTCTTCACCACATTCTCCACGTGGGACTGACTAGAAACCTGCACAGAAATGTGTAGTGGTAGCATCACGGCAATCCAGGGGGATTACTGTTTTATTTTTTCCTGCAGTGACAATGAGAATGGCGATAAACTTTACAGTATCCCTGTGGGAAAGGTAATGAACTGTCCATTAACACCACAGGAACGGTAATGAAATTACCACTTTTAGATTTTACAACAGCTAAGGTCAAGTTATTCCCTCATTACCCCCAAGTAATTCACCATTACCTATTAATGGTGTTGGGTAATGCGGGGATGGGGAGGGGACGATTTTGGGTCACATGGGAATGGGTTGGAAATGGTGTTGGAGATATCAGGGACAGTTGGGCTTGGGACAGGGCAGCTCTGTAGTACAGGTCTGAATGGCGTGTCCAGTACCTCTGTTATACTGTGGGGGCAGTTTGCTGGCACAATTTGGGTCCAGTTGTCCCCTTAGAAGGGTCGCTGCAAATCAATGCAATGTTATTCTGACTGATCACCTCTATCCAGGATGTCCCCATCCACAGGACATAAGGCTCCAGCACCAACATCAAAACACCAATTGATGGAATATCTTTTGGGAGAACGGTCTTTCATTCCTCCAGTACAGTTCCAGAGGCTTCTAGAATCTATTCCAAGTTCTGGCAGCTTATAACACCTTACTAAGACATTTTATGTGGATTTTTTTATATTATGATTTTATTAGTCCCTCTGTGTTTGCACAGTAGCAGAATATAAACAATAAAAAAACACTTTTTTTCATTTTTGAAAATAGCCTTATCATTTTACTTTGTTATTAAATGAGCACATAAGTTAGTGAGTAGTATTATAATGATTATAATTTACTCTAACATTCTAAAATTGACAGACCACCAACCTCAGATCAATGCATCAGTACATTCCTTCACCCAATATTTGCCCTTTATATCTAATGAACCCAATACATGTTCATGTGGAAAACTGATTGTAGATCAGCACTTTCACCACAAACAAGTTTGACATTTGTAGGCACAATTCCTTTTTCTTTTGTTCAATTCAGTTTTCATTTATGCAAAACTGATTTTAATAAAATACGACGCAGCCGAACTGTCCACTCGAACAGTTATCGATATTTCTTCAGCAGACATTTACAAAATATTAGCTTCAATTTGAGCTCACAATTCATTCATGTTTCATGTTTGTGTGTGTCTGTGTGTGTGTGCGTGCGTGTGTGTGTGTTTGTGTGTGTGTGCATGTGTGCGTGTGTGCGTGTGTGCGTGCAACAGGAAGAGTAGTCATCTGCTTAGCTCGTTGTGAGGACCAGGGGCTGGTTTACAGAAACATTCTATCTTTAGTCCTAAGTTAAGAACTGACAAGGTCAAGATAAGATTTTTCACACATTCGTATTACAGAAGCAAATCTTATTTTAATTTATATCTTATCTCAAGTTAAGTGTCACATATCCCTCCAGCCATGACTCTCAGGACTTCCCTGAAACCCCTGGGTGATCACATGACATCTAGGCTACCAGGTTCCACCTATCAGAGATCAGCTTCATCTGACTATTGATGTTTTTCAGTTGTATATTTGATGATATGACTGTATCCAGTTAGCTTATAAGCCCGGGCTTTAGGCTTAGTTAGTTGGGAGGTATTGCATCTTCTACTGAGCTACTGAGAGTTCTTGTCCATGTTCTGATTTATTCCTTGTGTGTCTGAGCCTTTGTTTGTATTTATCGACTTTGCCTTTTGCCTGTTCCCTTTTGGGATTCTGCTGCCTGGTCTCAGGTTTGTATATTGTTTGCTCATTCTGGATCTGATCTTCGCCTGTTTTTTGACTTCGATTGTCGACAAACAAGTAAAGCCTCAGCTTTTAGCCCAAGCGTCTGACTAAGTCTGTACTGTTACATTAAAAAATCGATAAAGGTTGATAATCAGTTGTTTTCCGAGTATCGACGATATGCTACGACAAAAATAAATAATAAAAATCAAAAATAATGTAAGCTAGTTAGCTAAGCTAATAATGTCAAAAAAGTGTAATAAACTGGAAGTTAATGGAAGAACATTGACAGCATCCTCTGCAGTTTCGGTTTTCACTTCTCAGAGCTTTAGCCAGCATGTGATCTGTGCTAATGCTATTCCTCCTAATAAACAGCCACACATTCAACTCTGTCTCCTCATTATTCACCAATCATCACTGTAATTTTATTTGATGAGTTTTCATGATCATAAACACACAACAGTAATAAGAGAGAATGGTGGAGAATGCACAGTTATCTAAAAAAAATCTCAGAAGTGAAACCACTGTTTTGCAGGGTAAGCAAATTTAACATTAATGCTATTTATAGTGAACTATGCTGCCTGTCTCAGTTACCTTAAAAACAAGAGGAAAGGAAAGTTAAAACAGAAGCGAAGACACTGCTGGGTTTTATCCCAAAGTTAAGGCACTGTTGTCTAGTCAGATGCTTCTGTAATACTATTTTCAAATCTGTAGTTAAGATAAGATTATTAACTTAGGAACTGTTGTTCTGTAATAGCTACTGTGCTAAATTCAGTCCTAACTGAAGTTGTCATGATGACTAACAGTGTTGTAGTACTCAAGTCTAGTTTCGGTCTCAAAATTATAAACTAGCAGTCTCAATCTTGTCTTGGTCTGGACTTCATTTGAAATCGATCTTGTCTTGAAGTGAGGTAAACTTAGAAATTGTCGAGACCAGCTGAGCCCAGTGCTTCCATCTGTGGTCACTTTCTCTACATCAGAATCCCTGATTCTTTTGCACACGCACTCGACTACTAAAAGTCCACACAAGCTTCTGCAGACCACAACATTTAACCGATCAGATTGTTATTTTCTGACTCACTTAGTGTTATGGCTGATGTAAAGTAGCTACCAAGTGCCAGATGCCAGGCTGAAAAGAGGAGAGGAAGCTGCAAACGGAGTTCTGGCTCAAAGTTTAGAAACATATTTGTTGTGTTTAGTCTCCAAGTGATGGTGTAAACTGTTGGGTTTTAAAGCTTGATTTGAAAAGACCCCTGAGCAAACAGCACAGAGCTGTAGTTACTCATTTTCAGTTCCCAAACACGTGAAGCCCATAGCTATGCTTGCACTGAAAATACACTATATGGACAAAAGTATTGTGACACCTACACATTACACCTAGAGGAGCTTTTACGACATCCCATTCTAAATCCATAGGCATTAACATGGAGTTGGTCCCACCTTTGCAGCTTTAGTACCTTCCACTCTTCTGGGAAGCTTTCTATGAGATTTTGGAGTGTGTCTGTGGGAATTTTTGCCCATTCATCCTGAAGAGTATTTGTGAGGTTAGACACTGATGTTGGACGAGAGGGCCTGGCTTGCAATCTCTGTTCTAGTTCATCCTGAAAGTGTTTGATGGGGCTGAGGTCAGGGCTCTGTGTGGGCCAGTCAAGTTCTTCCACACCAAACTCATCCAACCATGCTTTTACAGACCTTGCTTTGTGCACTGGGGCTCAGTCATGCTGGAACAGAGAAGGGTCTTCCCCAAACTGTTCCCACACAGTTGGAAGCATAGAACTGTCTAAAATGTCTCGGTATGCTGAAGCATTAAGATTTCCCTTCACTGGAACTAAGGGGCCTAGAGCAACCCCTGAAAAATAACCCCATAGCATTATCCACCAGCATTATCCCTCCTCCGCCAAACTTCACAGTTGGCACAGTGCAGTCAGGCAGGTAATGTTCGCCTAGCATTCACCAAACCCAGACTCATCCATCAGACTGCCAGATAGAGAAGCGTGATTAATCACTCCACAGAATATGTTTCCACTGCTCCAGTGTCCAGTGGCAGTGTGCTTCACAACACTCCATCTGACAATTGCTTGGTGATGTAAGTCGTGCATGCAGCTGCTCATCCATGGAAACCGATGCCATGGAGCTCCCAGTGCACAGTTTTTGTGCTGATGTTAATGCCAGGGAAGAAATTTTGTGAACTGACTTATTGCAATGATGGCATCCTATTACAGTACAACCCTTGAATTTGGTTAGCTCTTTAGAATGACCCATTCTTTCACAAATGTTTATAAAGGCAGACTGCATGGCAATATGCTTGATTTTATACAGCTGTGGCAATAGGACTGAATGAAACAACTGAATTTAATGATTAAGAGGTGTGTCCCAATACTTTTGTGAATATAGTGTATAAACATAAATTGCATTGTACCAAAACAATCAATAAGTTGTTTTATTTTTGCAAATAATCAACAATATTTGTCATATTTAAAATTACATTTGGTTAACTGTCTATATTGTGATTAATTTTGGGGGTTAAAAAAACAGCCCCCTAGCAGTACCACCACAGCCCACAGGCTGACAACCCCACATGTTTAAATAAGATCTGTTGTAATGAGTTCTGATGTTCATTGGTTCCAAAACACATACATCCCCTGAGGGCAGATTGGAATCTTATTATTACTATGTTTTCTTTTAATAATAAAAATGGATGGATGTTGTTTGGTTTATATTCAGTTGACTTAAATAGTGGGGTGGTGATTCTGAAGAGGTTTTAAGGAAGAAGGACAAAGAATAACCTTACCATCGCTTACAGTTACAATGCAAAATTGGATTAAGACTATAATATAATAATCATGAATAATGTTTTAGGATATATATTGTTTAATGTTATGTTTTACAAAATATATTATAAAATATAATATTATGTGTAAATATCTAACATGTAGAATTAATGGTAATGAATGTACAATTAACCACAACAATAACAAATTCCAGGGTTTCTTTTTTATATTCTGAAAAAAAAATCTAATCTGATCTCAATCTTGTCTTGGTCATGGTCACTCCTGGTCTTGGTCTTGACTTGGACTCAATGCATCCCAGTCTTGCCTCTAGCGGTGTTCACTACAACACTAATGACTAAAAAGATAAGATTCCAGAGTGAAGATCTTTGTCTAATACGGACCCTGATGTCCTTAGAAGATGCAAAGCGTGAGAATGTGTGATGATGTGGCAACATTTTACAGATCCCTATGAAAAAAGGGTTTTACTTATTTATTTATTTATTTATTTATTTGTTTATTTGTTTGAAAAAGCAAAAAAAGAACAGCAAGATTTGCTTATGGTCGCTAAGCTTAAGGTTATGGTTGGGTAATGTGTTGCACAGCAGCACTGAACTGTGATCATCCATAGGTCAATGGACACCACAAAGATAGGAATACAAGCTTGTGTGTGTGAATTGACCTGCTGTGGGAGTGCAGAGATGCTGATCTATATGCATTAACTGCTAAGCTGAGGATCGATTAGATCCAGCAGAGTTAGAGCCCTCCACTCACAGCAGACACACGGCAGAAACAAAGATAAAGCCAAGACCCGGCACACGCTTCTGAACCCACTAACTCTGTCTTATAACAGAGGATTAGGTAGAGCTCAAAACAGAGAAAGACAGAAAGAGGGAAGAACGTTGTTGTGGTCTGTTTGGATTTTCCGCATCAACTGGTGAAGTCAGAAAACACAAAATTTTGCAAGCACCAAATGTGTAGCTCCCTAGTTTACACCAGCTGGAAACAGTGTGGTCTCTTTTGTGCTATCATTGGCACTAAATTATAATTCATTGTACAATACATTGTTGTATGAAAAACTATGTGCACCCCTGCACAACTGACATATTTTGTTGGTTCTTGAAGTGAAAGAGGTAAACCTGAAACTCTGCAAATGTGAATGCACAGTTACTTCATATCAGATTTACTTAAAAAAAGTAAAAATTAGTAATTGTGGCATGTGAAAAAGTTTGGCTACCCTAAGTCATTACTTAGTAATACACCCTGTGGCAAATATCACAGCTTGCAAATGTTTTTTGTAGCCAGCTAGGAAACTTTCTATACTTGTTTTAGGAATTTTCTCCCGCTCTTCCTTGCAGAACACTTCTAGTTCTGCATTATTCTTAGGCCATCTTGCATACACTGCATGTCTGAGATCTACCCACAGATTGTAAATGATGTTTAAGTCAGAGGACTGTAAAAGCCTTTCTAAAAGCTTTAGCGTTTCTTGTAGTGGTTAATGGTGGATTTTGAGGTATGTTTTCGATGATTGCCCTGTTGTAAAAGTCAGCCTCTTTTCCACTTCAGTTTCTTGACTTACTGTGTCACATTTGCTTTCAAATTTGCTGACATTTAGGGGAATCCATTTTTCCATCTACAATCAATGTTTCCTGTGCAACTGGGTGCCACGCACCCCTACAGTATAATACCCCCACTTGACAGTTGGCAAGGTGTTCTTTTCATCAAATGCTGCTTCTTTTTTCTCAACAAACAAAAAAATACAATTCAATTCCTTATTTCTGAAAATTGCTAATATAGCTAACTTAACATAAGCTACTAGAGCAGAGAAAAAACACTGTGTTCAAATTTGATTACCAAACAGCTTTTTCCAAAATGCCTGCATTTGCTAGAGTGAGACAGCCAAGAAGGCCAGTGATAAATTGACAACTGGGGAAACCTTTGATGTTAAATGTGATGATTATGATAGGTTATATACTACAAACTAATGCTAGCATTTTGCACGGCCCACCTGCTCAGATATTTCCAATATCTTCAAGCATTCCGCTGCATCCTCCTCACATGCTCTTTTGCCTTCTTGGCACTGCCTTTTGTTTTTTTGCTTTTTGCGACTGTTGTTCATCTGCATGATTCATGTATGAAAATTGCTGCCTGTTGTGTCAACCAGCACCCAATTCATACTGCCGCACTCAATTTGTGACTAATCTCTATCCATTCTTCAAGACTCATTCTTCAATTATCCACTCATCAGTTAGCTGGCCAACTGACAAACCAGGCCACGGAGAACAATTACTTCACATGCGTACACTGAACCAACAGGCTCCTTTATGTGTATCCAAACGGTTGACTGTATATATGTAGAGTTCACACATTAACACCTGATCTAAAAGAGCTGAGAGCGAGAGAGGTTACACGTGAGCAGCCATGTTGTTCAGGTTGAGCAGAGAAGGCCTGTGAGAGCTTTTCCTGTTTGTTTGTTTGTTTGTTTTGTGTGGTTGTTTTCCGGCTTATTCACAGAAAGATTTGTAGTTGTGCTTCCCTCTTGGCTGGGTGAGTAGGTGTGACACGTCAACCTACTTCTGAGACAGAGTGAGAGAGAGAGACAGAGAGAGAGAGAGAGAGAGAGAGAGTTAAAAGCTCATATTTTGTTTTTTTCCATTTTTTATATGTTTTATTTTTTCACTGATGTCCACTTAGAATTTTTGAGTGGTTTTATGTACCAAAACAGTCTTAATTAATTTTACATGATGATTTTGCAACCTATTTTTATGTGTTCAAATTAAACAAGCTGTTTCTGTTACTGTGCCTTTAAGACTGATATATGTAAATTATGCTGTTCTGGTTGGATGCCCTGCTTTGTGTCTCTCTCTCTGGGCTGAAACACTCCTCATAACTTCAAAGTGAATGGGTGAAGCTAAACTGCTGTAGGCTGACTCAGCAAAAATATTTAAATGTGTTGCTTTTCATGACATCACAAAAACAATGAAGTCAAGGAAAATGTTTTTTCTTAACATAAACCCCTTACTTAGAGAGAGGAAGAGAGAGCGAGAGAGAGAGAGACAGAGAGAGAGAGACAGAGAGAGAGTAAGAGAGTGAGAGAGTTAAAGAGAGAGACAGTCAGTTAAAGACACAGGTAGAGAGAGCCATTGAGCATGAGACTTACAGAGAGAGACAGTGAGAGTTAAAGACAGAGGTAGAGAGAGCCAGTGAGCGTGAGAGTTACAGAAAGAGACAGTGAGAGTTAAAGACAGAGGTAGAGAGAGCCAGTGAGCGTGAGAGTTACAGAGAGAGACAGTGCGAGTTAAAGACAGAGGTAGAGAGAGCCAGTGAGCATGAGAGTTACAGAGAGAAAGATAGTGAGAGAGAGTTAAAGAGAGAGAGACCCTGAGAGAAAGAAAGCAAGAGAGAGAGGGGACAGAGTAAGAGAGAACAGAGAAAGACAAACAGTTAGAGAGAGACAGTGACAGAAAACGAGTAAGACCGAGAGATTTCGATAGTGAGTGTTAAAGACAGAGGAAGAGAGAGAGCCAGTGAGTATTTGAGATACAGAGAGAGATAGAGCAAAAGAATTAAAGAGAGAGAGACACTGAGAGACAAAGAGGAAGAGAGAGACAGAAAGAGCTTATCGTATGTCTTTCCACTGCTCGCTGATCTTAAATGCAGCTTATTTGGTAGAATCCAAAAACAGTTTAAAAAAGTTTAATAATGTGATGTCTGGAGGTCTGGAATCGCTCAACACTTTTATTTGCCTGTCTCACCGCTCTCTTTCTCTCTTTCTCTCTCTCTCTCTCTCTCTCTCTCTCTCCCCAGAGCAGAAACTGAAAGAGGCCTTTCGAGGAAGCACATTATTGAAGGTAGCTTTTCTCTTTCTCTCCTAAGTGGGTTTTAGTACTGCATGGTGCAGCATCTTTTATTTAGTTCTGCCTGCTGTGCTCCATTCAACCTGATTGATAACCTACTTCTCTGTAGGCCTGCTCATATACATACTGGCATACTCTCTTATGTCCTGCTGGCTCATCCGACCACCACCCCCTTTCTGTATTTCAGTACTGTTTTTAATATTCCCCTCTCAACTTCCCCTCACAAATCAGAAGTGCACAGAACCACTAGTGTTGTGGTACTTTATGCGGTTATATGGTCTATTTCCAGGTCTGAGAAGAGTACTTTATCATATACCCACCTTAAAACAGTGAGAGATGTGTTTTCTGCTTTCATTTTCTTCAGTCACTGATAAAACATCAATATAAGCAGAATCTGCATCATTAGGAATTTGTCTTGGTGAGTGTACAAACATGTATGACATGTAACATACTAAACAGACTAGACAAGCAAACAGACTGTTAACATGTATTTAGCTAAGGGGAAATTAAAATAAACATGCAGTAAATAGCATAAAGAAAAAAGAATAATGGATAATAATGACCCATGGAAGAGCTGAAGAGAAGTGTAAATATCTGTACATATGCAGATAACATATACATATGAAGGTCTGATGACATATACTATTATCAGCTGTCATTCTTGCCGGCGCGCTTCATCAGCCTGCTGTTATAGATGTCCTGCAGCATTGGCAGACTGCATCCAATGATGCTCTCCGCTGTCCTGATTATGTGCTGGAGTTTGGTTTGTTCTTGAGGTAGAGGAACCAAACCAGATGGTAATGGATGATATGAGGATGGACTTGATGATTGCTGTGTAGAACTGGATCATTTCTTTAGCTCAGGAAGAACATTCTCTGCTGAGCTCTCTTGGTGATGGAGAGCATGTTCTTCTCCCACTTCAGGTTCCTGGATATGGTGGTGCCCAGGAACTTGAGTGACTCCATAGTGGAAACCACAGAGCCATTGATGTTGATGGGGGCTAGGGAGGGTGTTAGCTCTGTATGCAAGCTGCAGGGCATCAAACAAAGGTCCTTCAGGTGGGCTAGGACCAGGTGTTCAAAGACCTTCATGAATACAGAGGTCAGGGCTACTGGCCTGTAGTTATTTAATCAAGCAATATTGATTTTGGGGGGGAAAGGAATAATGGTAGATGTTCTGAAGCACATGGGAACAGAGCAATGTTCCAGTGATTTGGTGAAAATGGTGGTGAAAAGTGGCATTAGTTGATTACAACAGTGCTAAAGGGTGGATTAAGAAACTCAGAGGCCCTGGAGCTTTTCTCCCCTTTTGTCTGGTGAAAAGCCTGTTAACATCCTGCTCGTTAATGGTGAGACGAGCAGGGGGCAGAGGTGAGACAGCCAGCATGGGGGACAAGGGCAGGGGACTGGCAGAGAGAGGCTGAAGATTGTCCTTTGTGTGCTCAAACCTGCAGTAGCTAGCTAGCTATGTCAGTAGTGTAGGAATGAAGTGCATTTTTGGAATTAATGAAAAAGCATAAAGCTGGATGTGACTGTAATACTATAGTAACACCAACAGCCAGTTTCATTCAGATCAAATCAGTGCTGAGGTCCATTATGAGATTATATTCTCTCAAGTCTCATTTCCTTACTTACTTTCATGCTATATACGTGAACAAATGCATTGATGTGAAATAAGTAATTGTGATTTTTTAATGACATATTGTTGGCATTTTTTCAGCAACTTGCTTGCCCTCTGTAGTAACATAAAAGCATTCTGTTCAAATTACTTCCTGTGACTGGCAGTTTGATTCTATAAGACTGCTATAAACTGTGTATTGCAGGTAAAATGCTGTTTTTACAAATCACAATGCCTAAACATTAGTTTATTTTACACCTGGATTTTCTGGAATCTTATCAAATCATGCAGACCGTGAATCCAAACTTACCATATGTTAACATTGTGAACAATTTAAGATTGAGTTTGAGACCCGACCCAGTCCAACTGGTACTCCTGTGTGAAATCCAGAGCCACGCAGACACACCAATATGAACAGAAACTGATTATCACAGATGGTTGTGTGGTGTTTTGCTTTGTCATGTGAGTTGAGTGACAGAAAATGCTGGGAAAAACTTCTGTACATCTGTAATATGAGGGTATGCACGTGAGGTTGCAATTGGTGGGAGTCACTGCGGGCACACCCACTAATGGTCAGAAAGACTGAATGACAGCGTTAGCTTTCACTGTAAATGCCACAGTCACCACTCATCATAACTCTGGACATAACTACAAACATCAGTGCTGCTGCATGCAAACATGTTCCTCCAAGCCCTGCCATATGGACTGTCAAAACTGTCTTTGTCTTCTCTGCAGCTGTCCAAGCTTTCAGTGGGGTCATTCATTCTCTGACTGTGTTTTATCTGCACAGACATACCCTCACCGAGCACCTAATTAGGAACATCTCCTTGTGTCTACACAAGCAGATCAGACATAGCAGTGCTGCTGGAGTTTTTAAACACTGTGTCCACTCACTGTCCACTCTAATAGACACTTCCACCTTGTTGGTCCACCTTGAGATGATAGCTCATCTGTTGCTACACAGTTTGTGTTGGTCATTCTCTAGTCCTACATCAGTGGTCACAGGTCTCTGCCCACAGGACGCTGTTGGCTGGTTGTTTTTGGTTGGTGGACTATTCTCAGTCCAACAGCGAAACTAAGGTGTTTAAAAAGTCCAGCAGCACTGCTGTGTCTGATCCACTCATACCAGCGCAACACACACTAACACACCACCACTACATCAGTGTTGCTGCAGTGCTGAAAATGATCTACTAATTTCACTAACAAATCCTGCCTTGAAGTATGACCAAGCATCAAGGCTCTTAGATGCCTTAGCGTATTTCCCCAGCATCAAAATCAGGTACATCTCAATGTCATGAAAACCAATTCCTGGCCACATGTTAGTGCCCAAGGACCAGTGGTTCTTTTGTAATTTGGATGAATAGCTGTCAAGTGCAACTGCCTTTCATTTAAGCAGGTAATCACTTGTTTCATTCCTGGTTTTGCCATTTCCCCTAATAAACACAATCATGTTGCAGAATGTTCTGCCACTCGGTCTGACTGAGGGAGCATATTCCGGCGGGAAAGTGACATCAGTGCATACCTCTGTACACTGTTTTATTAGCTTTTTATTTTCATGTAAATTGAGGGTCAAACCCGGCAGACAACGGCATCCACCCTCCTCTGATCAACAGTTAGACCCACTGCTTAACCCAAAGTTCCTCTAAAGAAATTAGTAACATACTTTGCTTGGTGTTTTATGTTGTCAGGCCCTGTTTTTGTCATTTTCCATTTGTTTTCTAGACCTCTTCATGTTCTTTAGTCTTGTTTCCTTTCTGTTGTAGTATTTTGTTTGTGAATGTTCTTTTTGCTTTGTTACTTTGTGAATCATTTCTACCGAGGTCTCATTTCAATAAAAACAAGGACTTGCGTTTGCATCTTCTCCCTCAACATTACAGCAAAATCTAAAAAATGCTTTTAGAAAACAAACTGGAGTTTACGGGATAAACCTTACAGTAAAGCTGATGATACTGTATGTTTCATTACAAGTATCATTACAATATTGTTACAGTAAAATTACAGTAGCCATACAATATGTTTGATACAGTATAGCTGCCTGTGCTGTAAATGTTTTCCCAGAATGCAACACAAGATGCTGTATGAAACTGTAAAACATTTATAAACATCATGCTTGGATACAGTACATTTTTCCACAAATTACAGAAATTCTCTACAGTGTTCTTCCCAGCACAGCATGTCTGCAACCCTCAGAAGAAGAGTAATCTAATTCAGCATGGGCCACTTGGCAGAGGAAATGACCACAAAATGCATGACCATGGAAAAATGCCAATAGTGTAAATGATACCAATACACCACATGGTCACCCCGTTTAATTCAACAGATAATGAACTGCCAACACTAATGATTTACAGCAATGCTAATGACCAGGTTAAATCAGTTGTTTTAAATGAGGAAAACATTCTACTGGACAGTGCTGTGGCTCTGCAGAACTGCACTTTCCCTGCTCAAACACATCTGATCACACTCCTCAGCTAATTAACAAGCCATTCCTGGGTCGAAGCGTGCATTACAGCAAGGCGAACATTAAGACTTGCAGGGCAAGAGTACTCCAGAACCAGAGCTGGGATCCACTGGTCTAGAGTTAACAGGCTAAATCTTTATTCATGACCTGTAGGCAATGATGGATTGGCACATATAACCTACACTAGAATTCTTCCAGTGCAGTAATTGGGTCTGTAGGGTTTTGTGCATAATTTGCCTTGTTATAAATAAGCATACGATAATGAGCACACATCTTGTTCACCTCAGTCAGCAGTCTGCCCTTCTTCAACCATAGGCCCACTTGGTATCTATGCAAGCTATCAGTCTATTAATGCTAACAAGGCCAAACGTATATAGCATTAATGTAGTTATATAGACTAATAAAGTTCCACTAAATGAACACCAAAATGCTAACAGCACTTAGTAGGTCTACAATTACAGGCTGTAGTCCATCTGTTTCACTGGATAATTTGTTAGCCCCCTTTTACCCTGTTCTGGTCAGGACCCCCACAGGACCACCACAGAGCAGGTATTATTTGGGTGGTGGATCATTCTCAGCACTGCAGTGACACTGACGTGGTGGTGGTGGTGTTAGTGTGTGTTGTGCTGGTACAAGTGGATCAGACACAGTAGTGCTACTGTGTACATCTAAAATAATGTTAGTTTCTGCTAGCGTCCTTATGGGATTTCTAATAGTTTGTTAGCACTGAACTTATCCTAGTACACATTGAAGTTTTTTGGCCATTCTAGTTTAAATGTGGACATTTGAAGCATTTAAAATATGTGTTTCTCCCACATCTAACACATTCACTACAGGAAATCAACTGTTCACTCACCGTTTAAGATATCTTAGACCTTGATATGAGATCGTCGATGTTATTCACTTCATCTGTGAGTGGTCTTAATATATTGGCTTATTATTGTACAGTTGCATGCAAAAGTTTGGGCACCCCTGATCAAAATTTATGTGACTGTGAATACTTGGATGAGTAAAAGATGAACTGCTAGCCAAGAAGCGTGAAGAAGAAACCTTCTTTTCAACATTTTAAGCAAGATTGTATTATTTATGTTTTGTACAATTTTAGATTAAGAAAAAAGAAAGGAGCACCATGCAAAAGTCTGGGCACCCCTCTGAGATTTGAGCTCTTAGATATCTTTTACCAAGGTCTCAGACTTTAATTAGTTTGTTAGGGTTATGGCGTGTTCACAATCGTTGTGAAAAAAAGGCCAGGTGATGTAAAGTTTGAAGTTTTAAAAATACTCTGACTCCTGAAAGCTTGTTCCAATAATCAACAGCCATGGGTTCCTCTAAGCAGCTGTCTAGCATTCAATTAAAATGAAAATAATTAATGCCCACAAAGCAGGAGAGGGCTATGAGAAAATAGCAAAACGTTTTCAGGTAGCCATTTCCACAGTTCATAATGTAATTAAGAAATTTCAGTTAACAGGAACAGTGAAGGTGAAGTTGAGGTCTGGAAGACCAAGGAAACTTTCTGAGAGAACTACTTGTAGGATTGCTAGAAAGGCAAATCAAGGCAAAAAGATTTGGCAGACTCTGGAGTGGTGGTGCACTGTTCTACTGTGCAGTGACACCTGCACAAATATACCTTCAAATAGAAGAGTCATGAAGAAAACCTTTCCAATGTCCTCAGCACATAATTCAGCATTAGAAGTTTGCAACAGAACATCTAAACAAGGCTGATGCATTTTGGAAACGGAAAGTCCAGTGGCCATGTGCAAAAGTATGTTTGGAGAAAAAAGCGTTGCAGAATTTCATGAAAAGCACAACTGTTAACTGTTGCAGCCAGAAGCACAGGGAATGTTTCACTGCAAGAAGGTAGAATGTATTCAATTAAATACCAGCGAATTCTAGAAGCATCACAAAAAAAGCTGAAGATGAAAAGAAAGGGGGGTACTAAGTACTGACAATGCATGGTGCCCAAAGTTTTTGCTTTGGGCCTTCTCCTTTTTTGTTATTTTAAAACTGTAAAAGATGGAAATTAAAAAATAATCTTGCTTAAAATATTAAAGAAATATGTTATCTTCAGATTTATGCCTTTTGGAAATCAGGTCATCATTTATTTGCTTAGCGATTCACAATAATAACTTTTGACCGGGGTGCCCAAACTTTTGAATTCTGCCGTATGTTTGTTGCCACACATAACAAATGAAAGTGGCATACCTGCCTGCATGCTGTAAAAATTAAGCTTAGTCCAACAGAACTAGTGCTGTCATTTCAGGTAAACCAAAAAATGTTCAGGCAGAGAAAGAGCAGCAACCCTATGCGTTCAGTATAATACTTAGTGTATAACAGAGGTTTTGAAATCTCAACAAAATCGTTTCACGGCTTAAGTATCGTGAAAATATCATATCGGGAGGCACTCAATGATTCTAAACATGCACGCATCCACAGAGGGAGAGTTAGTTCAGCTCAGTTCACCTCCTTCAGCTTTTCTGACAGTGTTAGCAAGCCTGAAATCTCTTGTTTATCCTCAATGAGCTCCAGAAATAGCTCTCCGCTAATAATACCTGCTGCACGGAGGCAGGAAGACCCAGAAAACTCCGCCTGGCTCGATGCACTCGGCAGGCGTGAAGGTGTGTTCACCAGATTACTGCAGCCGAGAGTGTGTGGGATTACACAGCGTGAAAAGGCAGTGACAAGAGAGCAGTTTATTTATGAGATTAATTAGAGCATCCAACACAGCGTCTGGTTACCTGACAACTTTGTCTGACTGTTTTTGATGTCTCTCTCTCTCTCTCCCTCTCCTTCTCTCTCTCTGTCTCTCTCTTAATCCCTTTCATTCTCTCTCTCTCCCTCTCCTTCTTATATGTGAATGAACCAGTGATCCAGGCAGACAGATTGAATCCTCCATTCATCTTTTATCTATTTCCTTTCCTCTCTTCCATCCTCTTAAGCTATTGTAGCTATTCTCTCCATTCCTCCTCCTCTGCATTTTCTTCACACTGTGCTTACGCCAAAGGTAAAAATAGGTGATAAGTGAAGCAGAATGCATCATTTTTCCCAATTTTCCCTCTGTTGTATACACAGTCGTATGCAAAACTTTGGAAAACCCCACTTAAGCATTTTATTGATTTTCAAAGTGAAAATGTGTTGACTCATCCTCTGTAGTAAAAAAAAAAACATGATATTTTTCTGCAAATTTTAGTGCTTAAGTTCTATTTATTTGCAGAATGTAACATATTGAAAAAGAACAAAACATATTTAACTTTTGCACAGACCACGTTTTATATTTTCATATCTTCAGTATGTTAAATTAAGCAATACACAGTAATTGTGCAATTAACATGTCCATGTTATCTGACCAGGGATGCCCAAACTTTTGTTCAAAACTTCATTGTTCAAAAGTTTGAAATCAATGTTTTCAATAATATAAAACCAATGTGGTTATAAACAAATGTCTAAAAAGAATCTAATATGCTAGTCCTGTACCATTCCACAGATTCAGATAATTGGTAGGACGCTAGGAAGTTGTTAAAAAACAGGAGCTAAGGAAGTTGTAAAGCATCAAGAATTAAGTTATAATAAAATTAAGGTAGTGGTTCTTAAACCTTGAAGCAGATAACTTGACAAAAAGTAATCTGGAAGTATTAAATAAAACATCTAAAATAGCTTTTAGTGTCTAGCTATATGCACTGTGTGTGTAATTGCTATATACATATATGTAATAACACCATTAAGTAGTTATTCATTTTTCAGCATTAGGAAAAAAACAGCATATGTTTATCAGAAAATCACTCAAAAGCCTCAATAACTGAATATAATGTCACTTTTCACTTTTTTCAGTATTTAGTAAGTAAGTAAGTAAGTAAAGTTTGTTTATATAGCGCTTTTTACAACCGGTGTTGTCACAAAGCAGCTTTACAAGGAAATGAGCATTAAAAAGAAAAGAAATCCGGGTCCGAGCCCCCATGAGCAAGCCAGTGGCGACAGTGGCAAGGAAAAACTCCCTAGGGAAACAGGAAGAAACCTTGAGAGGAACCAAGACTCAGAAGGGGAACCCATCCTCCTCTGGTCGACACCGGATAGTAAAACATTGTTAGTATAAAGTATCTGGTGTGTCTACTCTTCACCTTTTTACAGTTCTTTTCAGTTTTTCTAAGAAATTTGCATGGATCTTTTTCCAGACCTCCAAAGTTCAGTCTTACAAGTAGGTTGCATTTTCTGCCTCTCACAATCCAAATACTCCCAAACACATTCAATGATGTTAACGTCTGGACTCTGGAGTGGTCAGTCCATTGTTCTGAGACCACCAGCACCTTCTTTGTTTTGATTAGCAAATTTTGTCTATTTGCTTCTCCAGTAACTGCTTCTTGACAGCTACACATCCTTTCAGACCCATAACTCTGAGTTGTCTTCTCACAGTAGACAGAAACACCTGAGGATTTTTCTGATCTGATGCAGTGGAGCTTGATTTTCTCCTCTCTTATAGATAAAAGCTTTAAGTACTGATAGTGACAGCTCTTGCATGGTTTTTAGGAGTCCCATTTTCTCTATTCCTATTTTTGTTTGTGGATTACTTAATGGCCATTTTGCCTGGAAATAAAATAAACGGTGGTCACTAACTTTTGCTGCTTGAAAGTACTGATGATGCGTAATTGATCGCAATACACATGACATCATCATATTTCCCACCCCTAATCACACATTCTGCCTTTTTCTTTCTCTCTCACTTTCAACCTATGTCTCTCTCTCTCTCTCTCTGTTTCCTCAGGTCTGAAGGGTTCTTTACAGAGGTTACAGCTGGAATATGTGGATGTGGTCTTTGCCAATAGGCCTGACAACAACACTCCTATGGAGGGTGAGTGTGTGTGATCATGTGAGTGTGTTTGTGTGTTTGCATGGCCCTGTTCTCAGTTTTAGTGAGTATCTTCTCCAAAAAGCTAACATTGCTATAATGAATGAAGGCCTGTGGGGTCCGGTAAGCAATATGCAAATAAGATCATGTTAACAAGTTCCCACTAGCCTGCATTCATTGTTAGCCACAGCAACACGTTGGGTGTACTATTTTTTCAAGGTAGTATATAAAACTTTCAAGCCAGGCTTTTCGGTTCCTCAAAGCTCAGCAATGTAATCTCAGCTAAATAACAAGTAGGTTTATCTGTACAGACTAAATGGAACAAAAGAGTTGTTAAAGTTTTGCACAGTCATATTGTGTGACTGTATACAGGGACTGTATACTCTCTCTCCTTCTGGACGAATCACATGCAAATGAGCTGAGTGGTGACCAATCAGACTGTTGTGTGTATCACTGTAACTGACTGTGTCTCTGCCATGGGCACACACTGAGAGGCAACACTGGAACACACACCGAGCAGGAGATATACAGATTGATAAAAAAGACACAGGCCATTATAATGTTAGATGGTTTTTAAGTGTAAACAATAGGTTGCCTTGGAGCTCAGAACTGCTGTATGGCTCTACACTTTCCCTCTTTGCGCCTCAATTTGCTCCTGTTTTAATCACACCCCCCCCCAAAGTGGCCAGCAGTTGTTCAGCTCACTGTTACAAAAATTCAGCATTAACTTAAATAAAAAAATACAAATTCCACTCTAGAACAAGGACACATACATCTTAACTATGTTCAATTTATTTTAAAGTTCCAATCTTTTTTTATTATTTTTGGCAGTTGCAGTTGAACAATTCCGGAATCTGGGGGCGCTGCTGCACCCCCCTTAGCACCCCTCCTTACCACGTCCCCCACTGTATGCATGTAGAAGTGCACATAATCACACAGCAAAAGGAGCAACATGTTATTCACCAAAATTTAGCTTGCTCTTACAGGCCATGCTGGAAAAAAAATGTTTCTTCAAGGGTTCTTTAGTAAAGAAAATGGCTCTATATAGAACCGTGAGCACTTAGCAAACCCTTTGCATGATCAAAGGGTCCATAAAAGGGTCATAAAAGTTTCTTCAGACTGATGGACAATGTGTTGTAAATGGTTCTATATAGAACCTTTTTGAAGAGGGTTCTATATAGCACCAAAAAGCATTCTACTATTGTCATGATACGAGCTTGTAACAATAGAAGAACCATTTTGGTACTGTATAGAACCTAATTCAAAAAGGTTCTATATAGAACCATCAACAACACATTCTCTATTAATCTAAAGAACCTTTCAGAATGCAAATCATGCAAAGGGTTCATTGCGTGTTCATGGTTCTATATAGAGCCATTTTCTTTACTAAAGAACCCATGAAGAACCATCTTTTTTAAGAGTGTACTGTGATGATGTAAGGTACTCCTTACATATTACAAGTAAAGACTATTGTATACACTTACCTATACTTACCTGTGGATCGGTAATCCTTATCTATAAGAACTGAAATGAGAACTGAGTGAGTTCTTCTGAGTTTTATTTACCTGGATGAGTCCATCCTCTGTAGAGGGGGAGGCAGAAGCAAAACCTGTAAGAGAGAAAATTGTGTTAATAAGTATACACTGTAATTGAAGAAGAATGTTTATGATGTAAATATGAACAGTAAGTGGAGATTATGTAATATAATTACTGTCGTATGTGAATTATATGAAAATTCAGTACTCTTATTTTACCCCATGTTAGTTTATTCTAGGGGAGGAGCTACCTGAATATAAGCAGCATCACTAGGGCTATCGGTGGAGATTCTGTCAGCACAGAGTATTTGAATGAACTGTCATGAGTGTATATGATCTATATGACTTTGCAGTCATAGATCTATGTTCTCTGGTTGTAGAGACTGTTATTTTTCATTTTTTGTGCATTAAGTGCGCATGTTTGTAAATATGTAAATAGCTGTAATTGCCAGTGTGTAAATAAAGGTGACGGGGAGAAGAATATCTCTTGTGCAAGCCGAACTTTTACCAGGTCTTCAGACCATTTGCCCGACACTACCCATAGAGTGTGCCCCTTACTACAACATACAGCAATTTGAATATTCTAGTATTTGTTTTAAATTGATATTCATTTCTCTATTTAGTATTCAAAAGCTTTGTAGTTTTCAAGCCACCAAAACTGTATCCTCAACTACACCTTTCATCAGCTAAGTTAGTTAGAATAACCTGCATATCGTTTTGTTTCAGTCAGTCTGTAAAGTATTTCACAGCCCATCTTATTTCCTCAAATGTATTCTGTTCATGTCTGACTAATTCCAGTTTGCTCCGTTGTTCCACCGTCACAGCTGCCAGCTGAAAAGCTTGCTTAGGGGCAATGGCGCTCTTCGTCACACTCTTCTTCAGAATCTGATCAAACAGGCTGCGGGGCAAATATTATCTTTTAGAACTTATCTAATGTATTATTTTCTGTTTTTGTATGTGCTAAAGTAGAAACTTTGCAGAAGTATTTTGATAAACTGATAAAGTATAAAGTATAAAGTATTTTTTTCTTTGTATTTAACATTGTTGCGCATTTATTACATATGACATTGGTAGGGCTGTCCAAATATCTTCCTGTACCTGTTGTATAAATGCCAGTAGGCTACCCATTTTTCCTAGCAGTCTTTGTTTGGTGAGCATGGGGCCGACCCATCAGCATTCGTCTAAGTGAGCAGTTAAAAATTCTCTGGATGTTCAACACACATTTAATAACCAGCTGTGGGGCTCGATCACATTGGCCCAATGCTGAGAGCAGCCAATAAAAAATAATACATTTACACACGTACAGACTTTTATAAGAGTCGTTTACGGTATGGGCGTTGCCATGCAGCTGGCCCTCATCAGTTGGGGTAGCTACTCCTAATAGCAAGGCAATATAAAGACTCAAGTAAAAAATGTAATAAAAGTTCAATTTGGTACCAGCCATTAGAGCAGAAATTAGAGATTAAACGTTTGGGACCAGACCAGCCAGAGGATTTCAACATCATTCAGTCTGGAAAGGACAAAACTGTTCCTTCAGTCTTGAATGGGTCAAGAGCAAAACATGGCTGTCTACGAGTGTTGCTAAAAAATACTCTTTGCTTTCCTTGCCTGCTCTTTTCATGCGCTTGCTATGCTATCACTTGAATTCATTTATGGATTGGTAGACTTTGAAAGAAAAGTTTTTGCAAAAAAGTTTGCAAGTTTGCCCAGATGAAAAATCATAATGCATCTTTTCTTTTTGAGCAGTGAACATCTCTGGTGAGTCATTTTGCATTTTTACAAGGTGTGTTATTCCTAATGCCTGGAAAGCAACGTGTTTCCCTGCTCTGAAATGTTGCTTTGGATACATAGTTGCAGACCACAGTGACCGTATACTGCTCGATAACTTTGAATTGTAATGGGATGCTGTTTAACAAGGTTTTGTGAGATCTAATGCTGTTATCATATCACTGTTATTCTCCACTTCCACCAACTCCTACACCACGTTACATTAATTTGTGATTACACTGATGGAGTGCATTTGTGTTTGGATCAGGTTTGTGTGTTTCATTGAGGAGTTGGCTGCTGCCCCTACAGTTTTTTTTTCTGTGCCAGAGACGCCACTGGATACAGTTATACAGTTAATGTTGCTAGAATAGGTAGAACGCTCCTCAATGAATCAGGTTGTGTCTTCAGAACTAACTGTTGTATAAATACAGGATGCAGTTGAGGTAGGAGCGATCTTCCTAGCACTGGTATACGGTATGGAACAATCCTCTTCAGTTTTCACTCACGCACATTTGAGACAACCTGAGCAGGCTGTACCGACATGTCACAGCTTACTGACGCAAGCAACATGACGCATCTAATTCTTATGATTAGAAACATTAAAATGTACAGTTCATTACATTTAATTCCAAACTCACCACTCGTGGCTGTTTCCGCCATTTGTCAAGTTGTTTTGAGCTGTGCGTGAAAGACTGTGGGACACTGCTGGTCTCAAAGGATACACCAGCTGCGTCCTTCCATTACTCACAAACGAAGGGTGCATTTCTTGGCAGCATTCAAAAGATTATACAAAAGGGAACAGCCCTCGGTGACGTAAAGGCCGAGAAATGTATCCTTCTTCATCTGCGTCCTCAGCTTTGAGACACAGCTAAAGACTAATCACTGAAATCTGTGACTTTAAATTGATAAATGTGATGTGCTCATTTGTTTTGGATCAGACAGTTGTTAAATGCAGAGTGCAAGTGGTGTTGTTTAAAATTCATCTGTGAATTATTAAAGACTCTTGGCCTGCCTTGCCATATCAACAACATTTGCGTTTGTAGGAAACAAAATACATTTATAGCTGTTATTTTTTAACATCTGTGTGGCTGACCTTCCATTTCAAACTGAATTACTGTTGTGGGAACAATGCACAGTCTTTACTGATTGATCCTGATTCTCACCAAAGCAGCTGGTAGCCAATAAAATGTAATTAAACAAGCTATTGAACAGGTTAATCAAAGAAAAGCGTGGCTAATTGAGGCATTAGTGGTGAATTTGGACATCAGTTTAGCTCAAACAATGTGCAAAACAACAGTGTTTGGTGATAGAGACATATAATCAGTCTATTCAGTCTATCTGCCTTTTCAAATAATGCCAGACCAATAAACTCAAGCACCCACAGTTTGCCAGACAGTACCGGAACTTTAAGTGGGACCATGTTCTATGGCCAGATTAGACCAAAATGGAGATTTATGGCCACAAACACCAGAGTTGGGTTAAACATAGGCAAACCAGGTGGAACAGGTGGATCTGTGATGTTGTGGGACTGCTTTTCTTCCAAAGGCCCTAGACAACTTGTTCAGACAACATCACAAGTGGGCTCAATGAAGTATCAGCAGATATTAAATCAAAGCCTGACTGCCTCAGCCAGGAAGCTTAAACTAGGCCCTGATTGGATCTTCCAGCAAGATAGTAATCCAAAGCACACCTCAAAATCAA